ACTTAACATTTGATGCGTTTTTTTCACAGTACAAAATATAAATTATAAATTGAATTAAATATTTACATCAATTATATACTAATTCCAACTCTTGGAATTATTTAACTTGTAGACTTATATTAATTACTATTAATATTTAGCTACTCAAGCCGTTTTTGTTTTACGCGTGCTACTACAACATTTATTTATCAAAACATATCATAATATTATATCAGTAGTAGATGGGGCACTTGAGCACACTTTTTATATTACAAAAAAAACACCTTAAAAATCTTTAAAAAATTAATAAAATACATTAAAAAATGCATAAACAATATAAAAAAGCATAAAAAAACACACAAAAAAGCATAAAAAACATCTAAAATAACATTGAAAAAACCTTAAAAAAAACCGACCTTATATTTTCCTGTTAAAAATTACAAAAAATCAAAACAAATCTGTTAAAATTACAAAAAATTTAAACAAATCTGTTCAAATTCAATATCATTATTTTTTAAAAATTTATGCATTTTATATCTATATTTAACGCGTGTCCAATTCGGACACGCGTTATTAATATCAAAATTTTTTAAAAAATTCTATGAATTTATGTATTTTAACACTTTTACATCCAAATTTCAGTGCTTTTCTTGTATACAATTTGTATACAATTACATCGATATTTCACATATTTTGTATAAAATATAACACGGTCGAATAATCCGACCATGTTAGAATTTAACGCGAGCCCCATTCGGGCACGTGTTATTATTATCACAAAAACCCATAAATTCCAATAAATTCTCTTTAATTTTATTAATCTTGCGTTCCCCTGAAATTAGGGGTATGTCAGGTTTTGTATAAAAACCCATAAATTCTTTAATAAAATCGTGGCCGGGAAAACAGACCACGATTTTTACTATAATATAATATAATATTATAAGTGACTGGTTTCAAACCAGCCACCTCAAATTCATTTACAATAGTACTAATTTTTATATTTATTTTAAATATCTATGGAAATACACCCTGAAATACCATAGTGTATACAATTACATTGATATTAAAATAAATATATAAAAATTTTTTCTTTATAAATAAAAATAAATATAAATATAAGACAATGAATCATTATTACAATCTTTAAAATTAGGGGAAGTTTATTTATGTACAAAATGTCAAGATTTTAAGAAAACTGATGAATTTAGTAAAAATCAAAAGTGGTGTAAGGCTTGTATGAAAGCCAAAGTTAATAATGATTTTAAAATATGCGAATGTGGAAAAAAAATTTATTTGAGATGCTATATTGTACATTTAACATCAAACTATCATAAAAAGAGAACGGAAAACATGAATAAAGAGAACATTTAATATAAAATTATAAAAATAATTTTGTTATTAAAAAATAAATTCCATAAATAATATAAAATAAAATAAAATAAAATTTTTTCTTTATAAATAAAAATAAATAAAATAAATTGTATACAATAAATTAATAAAAATGCCTCTACAGAATCAAATTATATTAGAAAAAATGAAAGTACCTGAACTTAAGTTAATAGCAAAGCAATATGATATAAAAAATGTTTGTAAAATGAAAAAAGATTGTTTAATAGAAAATATAAAAAAGCAAGCTGCATTGAAAATGTTAGATAAAAATCCCTTCTTTAAGTTAGATAAATCATTGTTTACTAAAGAAAATTATTTTAATACTTCATTAGAAAGAAGACCAAAAGTTTATGATTTGATAGACGTAATTCAATTGAATGCACAAGTCCAAAATAAATTTAGGATACATAAAGCTGATTATAAAATTAGTTTTAAACAAGCATTATTACAAGATCTAAAACAATGTAATTCAGAATACAAAATTAATTATATAGATAAAGCTTTAAATGAAATGGTAAAACTTGCTAAAAGCAATTCAGCATATAAAAAAGATGATAGAATAAGTATTGCATTATTTAATCCAAATATAAAAACTCCCATATATACTGGAATGAGATCTGACGATATCATAGTAAACTTAAAATCTATAGTTGATGGCTTATTAACTTCAAATGAAGAAATTGATATTACAGAAACTACTTTTCAAGTTCAAATAATAAACATACCCAGAGGTTCAAATAGAAATAAAATAATAAATTTATCAGAAGATGTCCATACTAAAAGAAGTAATATTAAGATTAATAATGATGATAATTTATGTTGTCCGAGAGCAATTGTTGTTGCATTATCTACTCAAACAAATAATATTTTTGGACATGAATTAGATCTCAATAAAATTAAACAATTGAAGATGGGTAGAAAAATTCAAAAAGATTTAGCTTTAGAGTTATGTAATGTGTTACCAGAATATAACGAAGAAGGATTTACATTGGATGATATTCAAAATGTGGAAAAAATACTAGATATACAAATAAATATTATTTGTGCTGAAAGTTTAAATGCTTTAATTTATAAAGGTGATGATAAAGAAACTAAAATTTATTTATATAAAAATGGTAATCATTTTGATGTTATTACATCAATGGCAGGTTTTTATGGTTCTTCTTATTATTGTGAAAAGTGTAATAAAACATATAAAAATAAAAATGAACATAAATGTGTTAAAGATAAAAATGTATGTAAATTGTGTCAGAGACGAGAACATTCAAGTAGTACAAAAAATAAAATATATTGCCAAAAATGTAACAGATATTGTTATAATCAAGAATGTTTAGATGATCATTTTTTTGTATGTATGTATGTACGTAAATGTATTGATTGTAATAAAATATGTAAAAGATTTACTAAACTGGATGATATACATAAATGTGGATATAGAGAATGTATAAATTGCCATGAAGAAGTGAAAATAAACGAACATCAATGTTATATGCAACGTAGAATAGGAAAAGGAGGTAAATGTTTTGTAGGATGTACAAAATGTGGTGGTACAAATGACCCATATAAATTTTGTTCTTATACAGAAAAATATATGTTTTTTGATTATGAAGCTCAACAAGAAACAGGAACACATATTGCAAATAAAATAATTGCACATAAATTTAATTCTTTCAAAATTATGTTTGATACAAATGAAGAATTTTGTAAACATATAATATCCAAGGATTATAAGGGATATACATTTATAGCACATTATGCAAAAGGATATGATTCACAATTTATCTTAAAATACTTGGTTGATAATACTATAAAGCCATTTACAGTTTATAATGGTACAAAACTAATGTTATTAGAAATTAAAAATTTAAGTATAAGAATAATAGATAGTTCTAATTTTATTCAAGGCCCTCTCAGTAGTTTTCCCAAAACGTTTGACCTCAAAGAACTGAAAAAAGGTTACTTTCCGCATTTCTTTAATACAGTAGAAAATCAAAATTATATTGGTATGTTACCTGATAAAAAATATTATGGATCTCTAAAATTTTCTATTATATCTGTTAATAATAAAACATCGATCTTATTATATAAACTAGTGAATTCACGCATATTTTGTATATTAAACACTTTCCAAATTTTCTGTGAGTTTTCATATTCCTCTTTAGTTATATTTTTATCTGTGAGAGAACTTTAAAATTTTTCAATAGGAGGTAAACATGTTTCATTAAATTTTTCTTCACAATCCATATACTCATAGGGATATGCTAACTTTCTAGTAACTAAATCTAAATGTTCTTCAGGAAAATATTTACTAAGTTCTTTAAATTTATTTTTTAAATTTAATTTCGAATCATTTCTTAAATTATTTGTTAACTTTTCTAAAGAACTAGGTAAAAATTTGAATGAATCTATAAATCTTAATTCTGTACATATTTTTATGTTTTTACCTTTCCTAGTTACTACACGTGACATCATTTTTGAAAAAGAAATATATTTTTCCTCATTATTTGCGAGCAATTTTATTCTTTCATTATCGTTTCCAAATTCTTTTATAAATAGATGAGCATCATAATCTGAAAGATTATGAAAAGCAATTGGAATAAAACGTGGATTTTGGTAGTTAAGATTACAGATAGAATGTGCTGCTCCTCTATATTCTCCAGTTAAATGGTCATGATCCTGAACTTTTCGCATATTTTTATTTTTATTTTCTAATTCTTTTTTAAGTTTATCTTCATACAATTTTAATTTTTTAACATCATTAGTCTTTTTATAATATTTAATAGAGTCATTAATTATTTTAAGTTTATCTTCATAATATTTAATTTTTTTAACATCAGTATTTTTATAATATTTAATATTATCTTTAATTATTTTATGTTCATCTTCATACAATTTAAAATTTTTAAGATCATCAGTATTTTTATAATATTCAATATTGTCTTTAATTATTTTAAGTTCATCTTCATACAATTTAAAATTTTTAACATCAGTATTTTTATAATATTCAATAGTGTCTTTATAATATTCAATAGTGTCTTTACTTATTTTAATTTTTTTCTCTAACATTGGAGGTAAATCTGATAAATATCTTTCACAAATATGACATTTATCAGATTTATAATAATAATTATTTAATTGTTCTACATTCAATGTTTTCATAGGAACTATTTTATCATATATTTTAGAAATAAGTATTTCTTCATTTTTCATACATTCATAAAATTCTTGAGCTACGTTTGGACCAGAATATGTTACAGGAGGTTTATAATCACCATAACTATATTTAATATAATAACAAAAATTATTAGGTATATGTTTCTGATCATAGGCGTGCGCACGGGTGCAGCACATGCAGCCTAGGCTGCATCTGCTGTGTCTGTGGCGCCAAATGTTTTCTATTTTTCTGCGTGTTTGTGATACGATTGTCGATTATACTTATAGTGATTATTATATCCATTATTATTCGTCATTTTGATTTACAAAAGAATCGACCTGTTGAAACTTTAATTGGACTAAAGCGCATGACATCAGTTGACGCAGAATAAATTTTTAATATACTAACTTCGGTGTTACAACAATTTTCTAAAGACTGGTCTACAGTCTTAGCTGTTTGTTTCGATGGAGCTAGTACAATGTCTGGTAGCATATCTGGAGTGCAGGCAAGATGTAAACAAGAAAATAATAATATATTTTATATCCATTGTTATGCTCATTGTTTAAATTTAGCATTGATTGATAGCATTTGTGAAAAATCTAATACTAAATCAGGCTTAAAAAATAGTTCTCTTATTTTTGACTTCCTCGGAACAGTTCAGTTTGTTTATACTTTTTTAGAAAACAGTGCTATTAGGCATGCTGTATTGGAAAACATAGCAAAAGAGTCTGGCCAGCGGTTTTTAACTTTAAAATCACTTTCAACTACCCGGTGGGCATGCAGGGCTGAAGCTGTTTCTTCTATTAAAAAAAATTATAATATTATATTGTCAGCTCTACATAACATTTGTGATGACTGTACTATACCAGAAATTCGAGCAAAAGGTAATGGTCTTTTTAAACAGTTGCAAACATTTGAATTTATTTTCAGTTTATGCATGATGGAACCTATTTTGCAAATGATCTTAATAGCAAGCAAGTCGTTACAGTCTTCAAATTTGGATTTGTTAACTGCTGTTCAACTGATCAACTCATTGAAAAAATCTCTGATTTCAATGAGGAATAGTGAACAGTATGATGAAACGTTTAATAAATGCCTGAAAATATGTAAGGGAGATTATATAGAAATTCCAGAAGTCAGAAATAGAAAAGTATCCACAAAAGTAGACTCCATAAAAAATCAACACATGCTTGTGTCAAAGTCGGAAGAACTAAAACTGTTTATTACAAAACCTTAGATATATTGATAAATGGATTACATTCAAGGTTCACTCAGGAAAGTCTTGATATGATAAATGCTGTAGGCAATATGATAAGTTTAGAAATACATCAAACCAATCTCTATGAAGTACTACAAACAATATTCTTAATCTCTCATGAAGGACTTGTTGCTGAATTAAGGATTTTAAAAAGCGTTCCAAATGGCTCATCAACAAAAGCCGTTTACAATTGGCTAGACTTTTTAAAAGAAAATCAAAGACAAAATGTATTTCCAAATTTTAAAAAGGTTTAATACATTTTGCCACTATACCTGTCACGAGCTGTAGCTGTGAGAGGGTATTTTCTAAATTACCTATTGTAAAATCAAAACTTCGAAGTACAATGTTGCAAGAAAGACTGGAATCTTTTTTATTATTGTTAGTTGAACAAGAAAAATTAATGAACGTTCAGATTGAAGAAGTGATTGATGAATTCAAATCTATGAATAATGAAAGGGAGTGTAGCGGATCACATATGTGTGAGGCCGTTACATGGTATATAGTTAAGTATAAATAATAAGCAAGTATAGATGTAGATAATAATAAGGAAGAAGGCTTACACAGTATAGTCATCCGGGTACACATATATGTACACATTATGATATAGTATAAAAGAGACACATAATGTTAAGTTGGTTAGTTCTGGGACCAGTACAGCAGCCCGCTAACCAACGAACTCCGGAGGACGATACTGTAAGTAAGTCTTTCGATATTTAAGTAGTTTATAAGTATCCGTATTGAGTAATTATTGTATGAAGATAGTGTGTATGTAATTTAAGAATATTGTGTAAATTGTTGTGTGATAATAAATATATTCCCTTAAACTTGATATTTGACTAAACTTTCCTGAAGCTCCCGAGTTACGGTAAAAATATAATTCATAGGGCTCTGAAAACCCTCACTGAATTATTTAAATATAACAGGTTCCCTAACCCCGTTACATTTTGGTGGAGGCGCCGTATCAATTAACATCTGCAACTAGGTCAAATATTAGGTTTGAGTGTGGATTTTATTATAGCACAATAGGTATATATTAAGGGATATTGGGTGGTAGATATAGGGTAGGTACATTTGAGGTGGTATACACTTTGGTAAAATAGAGATCAAGGGTGTAGGTACTATTTTAGAGTTTGTGGAGAATTGGTGTTAAGTGTAAGGTTAGTGTGATTAAGTGATATCAAGTGAGTGTTGATTTTATAGGTAGGTACCTATATATTAGGTGATATTGAGTGATAGATATCGTATAGGTACATAGGATATGATTTTGTTAGTGTAAAGTAAGTAAAGTTGTGGTATATGCTTTGGTAAAATCGGGACCAAGGTTTTAGGTACTATTTTAAAGTTTTTGGAGAATTATTGTCCAAGTGTAGGACTAGTGTGGTTAAGTGATAGTACGTATAGGTTTTAAGGGCACTGGTTAAAAAAAATATATATATATATATAGTTATATTTTATTTCTGTTGTAAATCAAGATCATGGTATGTTTTTTTTGAAAAAGAAAACAGAGAAAATAGTAGTTAAATTAAATGAACATAACATTAAATTAATTGCTCCAGATTTCAACTGGTTTACAGCAGGTAGAAACGAAATTATTAAGTTACTTAACAGTATATCAGAGGAACAGTTAAAAGTATTGATTGATTCTCAAGAAAAAATAGAATTAAAAAATTTTGAAGGAAATAGTGAAGCATTAGACAATCAGGAAGTAGAATTTTTAGACTCTGCATTATCAGAAATAGAATTTGAGGTTTTTGAAAACGGAAAGTTAGGTAAGCTACCAAATATAAAGAAGAATAGGTTGGAAAAAATTTTAATTGAGCAGTTCGGGCAAATTACGATAAATTATTCAGCAGAAAAATTAAGGGATCTTGCAAGGAGTTTGATAAAAGAGAAAATAGGGAATAGAAATAAAGAGAATAGTACTGGTAATCAATTTCCCGAGGTAAAATTGTTGGAAACTGCAGAAAACCACAATTTATTAGAGTGGTCGTACAGTCAAATTGCGGTTGACAGTAGTGCATAATAGCTGTGGTATCACCCGTATTGGATAATACGCGGTAAACCAACTTTATACCTTACCCTCGTACGCTCTAGGCTAATGACTGTCTCTAGAATATATTCAGATTAGCACTGTTAACCTTTGAGGTACGATGGTAGCGTTTTGTCAGTTCTTCGTTCGTTTCCTAAATTGGAATGACTATTAGGACGCCACAACCAGAGCACTGTTCAGTTTGTACGGGATCGATGAAAACCCACCTTGACGTGGTGATCCCGCCCGACCGACAGATGGGTCGGTCGCTAAGAGGTTTTCAAAATCGGGTCCGTTTAAACTAGTTGTGACGGACCCCAGGCGTCGCGTGAGCTGTTACGTGGCGCCAAGTCGTGCTCTCGCGAGCGGCGTGCCTATACCTCGGGTCGGGAGCAACCCGCGATAAACCACCAGTCAGCTGCAGTGTCCTTTGACTGGCAGGAATCGTGGGCGTAACCTGACCTCAGGGTCTGAGGGCCGTCGCGGACCAGAGTACAGGCGACAACCCTTAGCTGGGGGATCGCCCGGGGGCCTTAGCCAGTTCTCGGGTGGTCAAGCCCGGCCGTGGACTTAGCCGTTTGCGGTCGGGAGAACTTCCGGAGGTTGGCAACTCCGGTCGTAGGCGCCAGGCACCGGCATGGACACACCCCGACCAGGCCGACAACATGGATGCAACTCACGACTAGCCCGACGTGAGCCAGAGGGATCAGGGCTAAGCCTGGCGGCAGGCGATAAAACGCAAGGGAAGGTACACCCGGCCAAAACCTACGATGCATGCGATCAAAAACTGTTTTACCCCAAGTGATATGCCGGTATACCCGGTAAATTCACCCTCCGCGGAGGCAAGGGCCCACGGATTTTGGGGGGGCCCAATCGCATCGCATCTCCGACCAGAGCCGTGCAGCCTGGTTGACGAGCCTAATATTGACTATACCATTCTTGACCCCACCAGTGACTTTCGAACAACGATAAAAAATTCCGACACTCCTATGGGAGTTATTCTTGACGCGGGCGGTTACGTCCTAAGACTAAAAGGCGGCGCTAACAGCGACTTAGAAACGCCAGCTAGGGATGGCCTCTCCAATGACGAAGGGGGAACGTTCGAAACCCCTTATAACTATACTCGAACAAAAAGAAAGCGTGTGACCGACGTTGACTCTAGCCTTACGTCCGATGGCTCTCGCGGCGCTCGCTCCGAAAGCATCGACAGACACTGCGACGAGGTCGAATCCAACATCGCTGATACTAGACAGGTCATTGTCGACATGGTCAAAGAAGCCAAAGTGGCTAGGCGCTGGGCTGAGACTCTTAACCATCACCTGGATGAAATCATGGTTGGAAACCGTCGGTTAGGTAGGACCGGCTCCATGATTCTGGGAAACTATGACGAGCAAAGGGAAGAGCTGCGCTCTACCCAAAAACATCTAAGGGATCTTTACTGTGACTTAGGCGCTCTCAGGGAGCAGCTCAGACAGGCGACGATGGAAAGAGACTCAGCCAGAGTGGAGTTATCCCTTCGTCAACCAGCAAATCTGAATCCGGTCTCCCCACCTATTGAGTTTATGGACCTAGATGAAGACTGCATCTTGGTCCTAAGTCCGTCCGGTAAAAGCTATGCCGATCGCACCAGGACCGCACCGCGTCAAAAGAAAAATGTTCGGGATGAATTTCCTAGGCTCGAAACCCCGAAACAGGCGAGACCAGTCAAACCTAAGACCGGCCAAAAAGCCAGCGCCACGTCTGCGCCCGCGGTAGCCATATCAGCTAAAAAGAAGGAAAAGGTAAAAAACAAAAATAATAAGAAAGACGACGCAAGGGACAGAGCCGTAAAAGTTGGTCCTAGGTTCGAGGTCACGGTGGAGGGCGAGAATTGGATAGAAGTCCGCAAATCCATTGAGCAGAAAATAAAAAATCCGAAAGTCCGTTCGGTCCGTTCGAGGAATGGCCTAATCCTCTTTCCGGAGGACGAGGCAACCGCTGGTGCTCTGAGGCGCACATCTCACCTCCAGGAAATCCAGCCTCGTAAGCCAAGGCTAATAATCAAGCATGTCGACAGGTTGCTCGATGGCGACGAGATACCCTGGGCACTTGTCAACCAGAACCCGGAATTGGAGCTCGCCGATTCTGACACTGACAAGGTGAAACCGCTTTTCAAACTGGGTCCCCGTGAGGGCCATGTTGTTCACTGGGTCTGCGAAGTCCACCCGGACATTCTGAGCAAACTAGAAGGGAAGAGTGCGTACCTGGGCCTCACCAGATGTAAAATGAAGGTTCATTCCCAAGTTACGCAATGTTACAACTGCCAGGGTTTCGGCCACATCGCCGGTTCGTGCAAAGCGGATAAGCCAACCTGCAGAAAGTGCGCACAGTCGCATGAGTCCAGAACCTGCGAAAACGGACAAATCAAATGCGCCAACTGTAAGGGTTCTCACATAGCCTCGAGCAAAACCTGTATAGCGAGAGAACGTGCTATAAGGACTATTACCCGCCGAACGGACTTTGCGGTAAAAATCACAAATTAATATGCTAAAAGTCATCCAGCATAACTTAAACAGAGACCGCACTGCCAGCCACCAACTCAGAGCTGCTTGCAGAAACCTCAGAGTCGATTTCGTTCTGGTCCAAGAACCATTGGTCACGAACGGCAAAATATATGCCTTCGAACGCTGTAAATGCCACATCAGCAAGAAATCAGGTGCCGCCGTTATTGCTCTATCGGACCGTTTTCAGTGTATTGGTCTCAATCAGTTCACCTCTGACTATACAGCAGCGGCTAAGGTTACGTATGGAAAAAGGCCTTATGACTACGTGGTTCTAGTGTCGTCATACTTCAAATTCAGTATACCAACAATCACCCATCTGGAGCGCCTAGAACAAATATTGACAATCGACACCCGAGCCTTAATTGCTGCGGACACAAATGGTCATTCGCCCCGTTGGCATTCGACCTCACGTAATCGCCGGGGCAGACTAACCGAACAGTTGATCGATAAACACAACCTCTGTATCCACAACTCTGTGGGTCAGATCAATACGTTCTGTCGGCGCGATGGCCGCACATCAAACATAGATGTTACCCTTTCAACCGAAAATATGAAAAACAAAATAAAGGACTGGTCCGTCAGTGACCTCACTGATAGCGATCACAGGGTGATTGCCTTTACAGTAAAAACGACCAATTATAAAAAGCCTGCGTCCCACGAAAAACGCTATATCCTTAAGACA